CCAACTCATTTACTACCTCATTTGCGGTGCAGATACAAATCTGTATTCTATTATATTTTATCTTCGTAATAATATTTTCTCGAGATAATATTTTGCCACGAGTCTTTTTTTAATCCATGTTTTACGAAGTCGCGAAACCTGTTACAGAATGGATTTTGCAATTTGGCTCTTAAAATAATATAATAAATAAGATTATCTGCACTAATAGAAAAGTTTGTAAAAGAAACTATTAATTTAAAATTAAATTCGTCATAATAACAATAATAAATAAACATTATCCTCCTTTTGTTATCCTCAGTACAGTCAAAATGGTAATATCATTAGTCTTTAATTATCTCCGGATCCGCTTAGCAGGGCCTGGCGACCATAGTGTAAAGAAAGAAGGTATGCTCTTGTGCATGAAAATGAGGATGGACCAATAAGGATGATGAAACAAATAGTCGGCCTGATATTAATATATCAGCCAATCAGCGTTTTTTCGCGATATTCAAAATGTAGTATAAAGTAAGAACAATTAATAAATTTATTTAATTGAGAACTTATTATTGTTACTTTTATTATTAATAATTATTAAATTTTCTATTATCAAATCACATGTCACGTAGTCACAAATTTGTTTATTTTACTATTATTTTTCTAATAATAATTAATATGGAAAGTAACTTGTTCCAACGTTATATCTGCGCAGAATCCAAATTGGGTCTACCTAATGAGCACACTTTGGGGTCATTCATGTAACTTTACGTGAAATTTTTCACTTTTCATTTTTCACTTTTTACTTTTCATTTTTCACACCTTGACATTTCACGTAAAACTTTTCACGTACAGCAATTATGTATGTAGCGTGAAAAGTGAAATCATGAAACATAGTTTCATAGATTTTATAGCTAATGAAAATTATTTTATTGATACAGTATCATATACATCTTTTAATAATCAATTATATATGTACTACGTACACTTAATTCTAATCAGCCCTAATCTTCTCTAATTCCGAAGCATATTTATTAATTCCCTAGATTTCCGCCTTTTCGCCACCAAGGTACATGGCGAAAAATTTCATATTTTCACGTTTGAGAGAGTTACATGATCCCACAAAATCGTACATGATCGTAAGTTCACGTGAAACTTTTCACTTTTCATATTTCCGCCCTAGGGGAAAGTTCATGATTGACCTCCTTGTCTCCTTACACCATGCTAGCGACTTTACGAAATTTCATCCAATGATTTCATGCTCTATATAATATATATATATATATATATGTGTGTGTGTGTGTGTGTGTGTTGTGTATGC